GTTAACCTTTGCAACAGGAAGAATGGGAGCTTAGGGGATTTAAAAACTGGAATTGTATTATTCGTTTTTTGAGAATTACTAAAATCTTTCAGCAGTTTTTTATGGGGGTGCATCTTAGTAAAATACCATCATTTTAATCAAAGCTAATTTAAATATGTTTCTTAAGACTTCTTTTTCAGAATTCTAATATGCTTGAAATGATTATGAAAACATTTCTGCTGAAAAGTACCTACAAAAAGTCCTCCCACTTGGCCTAGTGTTTGATGATTTTGTTTTTGAAAAGAGATAAAAAAAATTGCTTCATTTTCTATTCAACATAAATGCATCAATCATTGAACGACCTTTTTGAAATTTGTCCTTAATAGATTTATTTTCATTCAGTAGCATTATCATTCTGAGCATACATTGGCGTCGAAAGTGAAGGCAACAGACGCAGTTGTATATCTCAAGAAATATTTGTTGAATTTTTAACAAATATTTGGTACACATTTACTCCACGTAATAAAAAGTTATTACAGCAATAAAAATAAGAATAAAAAATTAATTTTCTCCAGCATATAAAATTGGAAAACTAAACTGTTGTAGTGTATCTCCCGAGTCTAATGGAGAATCTTTTCAAGACGAACAACTGTTATAAATACCCCTTATGGTATAAGGGCTATCGTTTGAAGGGTATTTTTAACAATAAATTTATTTGTCAAAAAACGCTTTTAAATTATAGAATCTAATGGAGGAAAACTGTTATTCCAACAGTTTTGGCTACAGCAGTCCCAGTATAGGCGTGAAGTCCAGAAACTTACCTTATTACTCCCTCCACCGAATATTATTCTGTTCTAGGAAATCCTGGACGAATTAAGTTTTGTGTGTTTTGGGTTTTGTGGACATACAAAAATGAATTGACGGCCAGTACTATTTCTCTCTAAAATGTCCGCTCTACCGCAGTGTGTACCGCCTCTTTTTCTAGAGGCATTTCACATTCAAAAAAAAAAATCTTTCTGTTCTAGTTAACGATCCTAATTCCAATCCATCTTTGCCTTCGGCCTTTAAAGAAACTATGTTTTAGTTCTGGTTTCATCAACAGAGGGCGCCACTTGCTTAGTCTTGTCCAGGCTTTCTTATCTTATCTAATCATTATTTCCTATCTTGTTCATTTGCGGTTTTTGCAGCTGAGGGATGGTGGTTCGGTAAAACCATCGAAACTAGTCCTGTGAAAATTCTGAAAATATAACGCTGATTTTTGTTGTTTGACTTCTGAATTACCATTATGAATATTTATTGCGTCTCGCAACTGCTGGTCATATTAGTCTGTGTTCGTGAAGAATGAAGGGTAGTTAAAATGAAAACGAATGAAACAATGTAAGTGACTTTTCCAGCTTTCTCAAAAAGAATTATTTTTCACCAACCGGCCTTCGAACTTTCTACGCCTTTACGCTTCATGAACAGGCATGTTTTCAGGTATCAAAACATCATTGTCGGTTTGAGTGAGAGCACGGGAGCATGCAAAATGATTCTAGATACACTGTGTTCTTAATCCTGGTAAATGTTAGTGTGTTTATTCACCTTTTGAAAAAAAAATTATGTTCATTACAAGTCCTTGACCTCATTAATGAAATCTGATGGCTGTTAAAGTTAGCGGAGAAGGGGAACTAATGACATTAATAAAAAGTGTATGGAGAAAATAGGTTGAACTTTCTTCCTCTACAATCTCTTTTCGTCTCTTGTCCCTTTGGGGACAGGAAACTTGTCCTGTTAGTAAAATATACGGTGATATGCTACCTCTGTCTCTGTTACTGTTAGATCATTCTTAACTTCATCAGCGACAAAGATACACAATAATTTTTTGAAGCGGATGGTTCTGTAATATAAAATTTTTTTGTTATTTACGATTTTCGTTTACGACATTTTTCTTTTATATTCTCTTCTTCTTATCTTTTACATTTATTTTATTTTAACGTTTAAAGCATGTAGAAATACAATGAAATTAGGACTTATGTGATGGCTCTCAGTTTTTAGAAGCAAAATGTGTAGTATTAATAGTTATTTAAAGACTCTTTCGTTTCTCTGTTTAGAGTAGAAGAACAAATTTTCAGTCTACATTTTCTGTTAACAATTAAATTTATTTAGAACCTTTTACAGCTTTCAACGGATTTTTTAATATAGATTTAGTATGTGTTGTAGAGTCTGTTAGGTGTTCAGAGTAGGAGGCATGAAAAATCAATTACGACCTCGCCAGAACTCGAATTTGCTGTTCTTCCTATTGGTAATCAGATGTGCTTGCGAAGATGAATGCGATAATTCCTTACAATGTAATTAGACATTATTTTGATCAAATCTCTAAGTTCTAAATTCACATAGTCATTATTGATATGCAACATCACAACAATGAAGAAATTCCAGACTCGTTCTACACTCTATTGCACTTTTAGAATGCAATTAGCCCTAGAAATGATTTTTCGTTAGAAGTAGATAAACAGATTTCATGTTTTAGATCAAAATATCCATCTTTAGAGTTATAAAATAAAAGTTTTTTTTTTTAATGATAGAGCACAAGCTGATATGAAATATGCTGGAAATAAGCCATGAAGTGTTTATGCCAAATTAATTAACGGTTGATAATTTTCTTAGCAATGTAAGAAGCAAAAATCCAATATTGCAACTGAATGGTAACTATTTCATAACGCAAAACTTTATAACAAAGCTCTTGATTAAGAATAAATCCACAAAGCAGAATGTATCACTTATTTATTATACACAACGCTTTGAAATTGAAGAAATGCCGTCCACGTGACGACACAGCATTTTATGCATGGACCTTATAAGAGATAGACTAACCCAGTGGGCGGGGGCGCGTCACCGACATGTCCGCAAGAAAGAGTAGGGATGATCTAGTTTACTTTAACACTGAAACCTATGGCGTTTGTATCTCATAACTGTTTTTAATTGTTAAATGTGATACGTTGTATAGTGATGAGGTATAGTAATGAGGTTACAGTTTTTTTTTTTTTTTTTTTTTTTTTTTAAATAGGATTTAATATATCTCATTAAAGCAGTTTTTACTGCATTTTTTTCACGCGTAATTCTTGTACAAACATCTTTACTTTGGTAAAACGGTAAAAACTCTAAGCACAAAATTTATGAACGTAATTTTGCGTACAAATAACGTAAAATTAAATAATATTGACAGTACGTGATGCTTTGATATAAATAAGGTAAAATTAAATAAGATCTGATAATTTTTTTTTTAATTTAATGACCATTTTCAGGCAGTGATTTTCAAAAACTATAATAACTTTACAAAACAAATCATTTATTTGATTATATCATCATTAACTTATTAACATCAAAGTGGAATATTTATTTTAGTAATTTATAAAATTCGGAGCATAAAATTTTCTGAGTGTAATGAAGGGGTAAAAAAAGGTAAAATAAAATCTAGAAGCACTCATTTTATATTACGCCCAAAAGGAACCTTTTTTTAACGTTTTGTGTGTTACCTATAATTAGTGAATATCATGTTCTTCGCTCGTAAACCCCCATACATTTGAAAACAGCATATCTTTAGAATTTCCGCACTGGAGATAAAACTGTTATTTTCTGTACAGTGCTCGCTCTGAACTCGTTGAGTTTGTTAATCAAAAATTTGTTAAAGTTTTACAAAATATGAAATAGATTAAAACAAATTCGAAATTCGGCCGTTAGATGCCCATGTTCTTGTGGAGGATTGTATTATTCAATATTTCATGGCTCTAGATACTGTCGTTTTTGTCACAGTGCGAGAAACATACATATATTCATGCAGATTCTTCATTATTTAATTTCTTTAAATGTAATACAGGGCGATAATATTCTGTAGCAACAATTTGCAAGGAGACCCGGGCATTTATAGTGAAATAGCGCAAAATGCCGCTTCGAGCTAATAAATTAAATTAACAGCAAATAAAAAAAAAATATGCAGAACTAAAAATAAATTTAAAAAATAATCACTATAAAATATAAGCAAAATTAATTATTACGGTTAAATACAATTTTAATATTAGAATTAAATGCATAAAAATTAAGATGTCACAAGTGTTTATCACTATGATGTATTATGAAATATAATTGAAATAAAATTCCTTTATAGAAATTGTGCTGTAATACTCATCTATAATTTTAAAAAAGCAGCACAATTTAGAATTTTAAACAAAACTTTCAAAAATTCGTTTTTAAATATGTTAGTATTTTTTACTTATTTACACCAAAAAAAAGCATAAAAATTGCAAGAAAAAACTGCTTGTTTGAAATTTTCTATTAGTTCAGATTTAAAATATAATTTTCTAAAAGAAGTAGTTACAAATTTCCTTCTAGCATAGGAAAAACTAAAAAAATAGCCAGCCCGGAAAGCATGCAATAGCTTTATAATTCTTGGAACGGTTAATGCTTGATAAATATGCTAAATTGTTAAAAATCGATGGAACGGTAATGCTTGATAAAATGCTAAATGCTAAATTTTAAAAATCAATCTCAATTTCAAAATAAAAATATGTAGAAATTCTAATTCTGAAATGAGGCGCTACAACCAGCTTTTTCTTGACAATTACACGCTGCAATAGGCAGCCACTGTTAAATTTCTGCAAGGTGTCCTATTCCTCCGGATGTGATCAAGGTGACAGCCGGGAACGCGTCAGACGAGGGAGAAAACCCATTTGGGTTGGTCTATTTCTTATAAGGTCCATGATTTTATGCATACATCCTCAAAGCACTGTAGCAATAAAAAACAAAAAAGGATAGACCCACATAACTCACATATTCGAAAGTTTCGTTACCATAGCAACCACAACGCCATCATTGTTGCAAAGACATGCTAGAAATTTTATTTGGTAACAAAAATACTAAACGCTCTCTTGCACAAATATCTCACAGAATAAATATATCTTGATTTATAAAAATATGCTGTTAATCTTTAATATTCTACGTCACTTTATTTGTCTTCATTCTGATTAAAAACATGTCTTTTACAGGTCCTCCAGATCCGCCTTCCAGTGTGCAGTTGGAAGTAGTTGGTACTCGATCTTTAAAAGTGAAATTCTCAGAACCTGACACAGCCCACAAAGAGGACAGCATTGTCACCAAATACAAAGGTAACTTGAATTAGATATTTATATTTTAATATAAATCTCTGCAGAAGACTTTTTTCTTTTTGTATTAATGAAAGAAAATACGACAGTCTGATTGCACAGTAATCTGTACTCTTCAAAGCAGGCTCCATTGCATTAGACAACCTTCTGCGATCTTTCAGTATGGTGACTTTCCTATAGAACTACTCTGAGTTAGCTAAAAACATGGAAGCGTTTTATCGAGTTCTTTACATTCTGTTATTGATTATAATCTACAGCAGAGATGGCACAAAAAATGTTAAGTGAGGGAGAAAGGACTTTTCAACTCAATTTTGCCACGGAGTGTCTTGTGATTTGTACTGTGTGCAGACGAGCTTCAGCCATGGGCAGAAAGAACCTTTTATTACTCAACAATGGCTGGCTTATTTGTTGCAAATATTTCATGTTAACATCGCGAAGAATGTGATTGAGGGATGTTATGGCTTTGGTTCTGAAGTTAAAGCGGATCGAATGCTGGGATTTACAGAAACAACTCATCTGGCGATAACCACAGTTATGAACATCGCAACATAACATTTTTCACCACAAGTAAGAGATTCTGTAATGACTGATGTTCTTTCACTCACAACTGCTGTTTGAAAGACAATACCTTAAGTCATCTCTAAGTAAATTATATGAGATCCATCTGTTCAGCCGGCATTTCCAACTGCATATTGCGAGATAATCATACGCAGTGATTTCTGATAAATAAAACATGCATTATCTAAATAACCCCAGAGGGGCTATATGTAGATCGGTCGCAGACATGGTTAGTTACGTGTATGGTTTCGTTTATCATTCGCACAGAAAATCTGCATGCATGCACAGCGTCTTCTCATATCTCACTTAAACATCAAACATAAAACCAAAAATTAGTCTTGCGATTACCCCATTGCGTCATCATCTAATGTACTTTAATAGCTCTTTCATAGCTAATTTGCCAAATCTGAAATATGCATTAAAGCACATTGAACTTTCACTTCATCAGATAGCATATTTGATGCTTGCTATCGAATGACATATTGTTCAATGTATGCTTAATTACACAGCGAAAGACTCGAGATATTAATAACATTTGTGTGTTATTAATACTACTGTGCACGTGTTATGTGCAATTGCACTTAAATTATGCACGTGTTACGTGCTTTGAAGGTACACGCTAACTTCTGTTAGCGTGCAACTGCAAAGAACGTAAAGACAACGGCAGAATTTTCCGAGGGACCTGATACGTATTTTTATTCAACATCCCATATTGGAGAGGAATGGTATTATTAAGTAACTATGAAAATAAGGTATGAAAAAAATTAACTGCGTAAGCGAAGTTTCAAATATTTTAGACGATCGTGTCTATGTTAGCTTATTTAGAAGCATTCGACTTTTACAGATGCTGAAACCTTTTAGAGCTTAAAAAAAGTTACTAATTTTGTAAACAGAGCAAGTTTGATTTATTTTGTAACCAGTGAAAACTACTGATTTTTGTCTGGCTGCTTAAGAACATTTGTTTTGAATTATTTTAGCCTCCGTATTTTTTTTTCTACGAAAATTTTTTAAAATTGTTTTAAAATATTATCAATACAATTTTCTATTTTCAAGTATCTGTATCTTTTTATTAATATTGTCGGATAAACAGTTGGCAACTAATTATTTTTTTTAACCGATTCAAAATATCTAGCCACACTTTCTTTTAATTGTAAAAATGATCCTGACATGTATTGGAAAAGTAATAGTGAACGAAAGTGAAGAAATCGATTTTTTATTTGAATCAACGCACGGGCCTCTTGTTTCGGGAAGAGAGGGAAAGGGGAAAATAATATTAACGGCTAAATATTTAATAAGTCAGAAAAAAATTCAAATTATTCATTTTGCTATCCAGTTATGCGAAAGTTGATTTTAATTTCTCTCTGCCAACATCGTCAAGTAAATTAAATTTCGAAGAATCGGCAATCTCTTGTAATTTCAACCTTTGGATCGCAGGTTAGGAGATTAGAAATCTCATTTTGTTTGATTGCGACGTTCGCACGGTTAAAGTAAATACGAGTAATTCCGAGTAAATATTATTTTAAGTGAGCTGGAAACAAATTCAAATTTGCTCCAGACTGTAAATAAACAAAGGTGTGGGTCAGTAAACCCAGTATCAGTTTTATTTTTTTTCCCGACATGTGACATCTTGCCAAAGGGCGAGAAACGGTCTATCTTTCGAAGCATTTAATCGCTATATTCCATGTTACACAGAAAATGCCAATACGATGTTAATGAATAGTTTTAGGACTTGGTGCAAGCCAAGAGCAGCTCAATGAACTTCTCTTCATTGCACGAATTAATCTTTCACCTTTACTTCTAAAAAAAATTTATGTAATGAAATATATATTAAAAAAATATGAAAGGTTTCAGATTTTAAATTACGTCCAGAGGGGTGCTTTTTTAACGTTTTGTGTTTTACCTTTATTTATTAAATATCATGTTCTTTGCACTTAAACCGCAAAATTCAGTTCTATAGCAATGTCGCAAAAAAATTTTAAAATGAGCCTATCTTTACAATTTCTGATACACAGTTCCGCACCCTGGAAATAAAAAGGTCTTTTTTTCCCCGTAGAGTGTTGCTATTGCTCGCTTTTAAATAGTTGAGTTTATTACTCAAAAATTCGTTTTAGAAAGTTAGAAGTTTCAGAAAATATGAAATCGATAATAAAACAAATTCCAAATTTCAAAGTTGGTCTTCCACATGCCCATATTCGTAGGAGGATTACGTCATTCAAAATTCGATGGCTCTATGTACCGTTGTTTTATCACAATGCGAGAAATATACCTACATTTATGCAGATTTTTCATTATTTAATTTCTTCCGATATAATGCAGGTCTCTAACATTTGGTTTCAACAGTTTAAAGAGTGAAACGGACATTTATAGTGATTCAACGCAAAATCGCAAAACGAAAACAGTAGTCCTTCAGGGACAAAGCCCTTTTGGACTAATAAAAAACTGAAATTATCATTCATTCCAATACTACACTGCATACAGGATGTGTGCTGCATATATATTTAATATGTGTTTTATCAGCTTATCATCTTCCATATGCATGAATTCATAAAAATACGTGATCTACTTGTATTTTATTTTCTATACATAAACTGTACTGGAAAAGGTCATTTAAATAAATATTAAACAACGATTGCTACAGCTATATAGAAGTGATATTTGGGTATAAAAAGTGACCAGGCGCTGTATAAGATACAGAATAATTTTTATAAGTGCAATTTGAAAATTAGCACACTTATCTCAGAAATTAGAAAATTGTGCTGTATAACTAAATTAATAGAAAATGTTAAAAGGTATTTTCTCCTTCCTTTCTGCATGCCTTTGTGGTGTAACGGTAGCACACTCGGCGCGTATTCCAGAGGTCCAGGTTCGAGTCCCGGCAAAGGCATTACAAATTTTTCTCATCTCCTGCTTCAAAAAAAAAAAAAAGTCCTAATGACTCTAAAATGTATAACTAAATTAATAGAAAATGATGTTTTGCATCAATGACAAAATAAGTATGGAAAGACGCTAATTCGCTAATCTTTGAAAATTACGTTACTTTCAATCAATATGCTAAATATAGCTGCACAACTTTCAATTAATACTGTGAATATCTGGAATATTTTTCTGTTAATATGTTCAGTATCTTCTGGCAAATGTGAGCATTTCTGAATTCTCTGTGTGTGAAATATGACCTTTTCTGTGTCGGAATTTCAACCTGTATGCAGAATTTTCTGTTGAACGTTCGTCAGGGACACGACTAGTGGTCACAGTGTCGCAGGTTGAAATACTGGCTTTGCAAATCGTATAGGCTTGTCAGTTCCATTTTCCGAAGAAATTTATAGAAATTAAATCGGCTGATCGCGGAAACCACCTTATGGGGCAACTTTAACCAACCATTTTTTCTTCGAAAGCTACAAACAGGTAACGCTGCACTGTTGTTGGCATATGGGATGATGTTTCGTCATGCTAGGACTACAATGGTGTCTGCTAGTAAGGACCGTGAAATGAAATGTCGTTTAGCCTGTAACAATTCTAAATAAAGCATTCCGTCTTCCAGAGGAACTACTGTCTTGTAGCACATGCTGATAGTTGATCCATGATATGTAACTGTTTGTTTCCTGTTTAATCCTAAAATATTTGTAAATTTTCCTCAGAAGAAATATTTGCTTTTGAAAAGAAATATTTCTTTCAAAAGATGCGTGATTAAAAAAAAAAAGGCTGGATTTTCAGCTAAGTGACAAATTCCAAATTTGTGTCACTGAAGGTATCCATCGTTGTTTTACAGAGTCATTAGATTTTTTTGAAGCAGGAAACGTGAAAAATGTGCAGTGCCCTCGCCGGACTTGAACCCTGGACTTCTCAAATATGTTTCGAGTTACACCACGAAGGCATGCGGAGAGGCGGAAGAAAATACCTTATATATTCCTCCCTTTATATAAAGACGACTTAATCGCGAAATCATGAGGGTGACGAATTATCGTTCACCACCTTTAGTTCGGGCGCCACTTTTAGAGTCATTAAGGTTTTTTGAAGTAGGAGATTTGAAAAATGTGCAGTGCCCTCGCCGGTACTCGAAACCAGGACGTCGGTTGTCGGTACGGAAAAGTTCCGATGAGCATCATGCTGTTGCAACATTCCACTGTCATGATACTGACGATCCATATGCTAATTGAGTTTCCTTGTACTATTGTGTAGAGGGAAGATTCATTGAGAAGTATGCCGGAATATCAAATTTTTGAATGTATATATTTATTCTTCTGAGTTCACTGAGGACAAGGTATAATATTATCAATCTCTCCAAAACACAGAATAGCCATATTACTGTTTAGTGCTTTTTAATGTGTAAGAACAGTAAACCTCAAGGCATATAGCCTTGCAACTTCTCTAATATTCTTTCAGTTCCTCCCATAAGGTAGTAAGTGCCATCTGACAACATTTTCCTTCGAGTAGATTATTAGTATTTC